CAAAATTATTTTGACGGTCATTTCACATTTAATTTATTATAAAAGTTAGGTTTTTTCTAAAAATTTTGAAGTTTTTAAAAAATCTTCCTTCAAATGTCTTAAATACTAAGCATAATTACAAATAAATAATTATTTATTAATAAATTTATATTCCGTAATAAGGATCGTTATTATAAGCTTGTTTTTTCGAAGTTTCGCTCGTATTTTGGTCAAACTGAAAAAAAAAATGCCTAAAACCCATTGTGACTGACAAATGCTCGTAAATTGGTCGTGATTTGACCGAAGTTAAAATTGACGGTAATTTCACAGGTGTCACCTTCTATATTATCTCACTGTAACTTGTTTAATTTAAAATATTTTTGCTAGAAAATTTTTTAACTTATTCTCAAAATATAAATAAATAGATGACAAAAAAATGGATGGCAGAAATATTTGTTGACTTTTTTTTTCTTGACTCAAAAAAATGTCCTAAATTCGTGCCTACAGACTATAATACCTCTTTACCAGCTGGCCAATTCATATTGTAGTTTGTAGTTCCAGTTTTTTTTTCTCATCTTTATTTCAGATATCTTTGTTAATTTTATAAATTTATTTAACAGTTACATACTATGTAATACAATATTCATACGGTTAAATTTAACATCTTCAAGTATGCAGCAAAATGAATAATTTTCAGAACCACGGGATTTAATTTTCCAGTTTTCCCTATGAGATATAAATAGATTAAGTAATAAATAATAAATCGGAAATCTGATATTTTAGATGAAAATAACTTGATATCATTCAAGCCGTTATTGAATAATACTTTGACATTAAATTCAAGTTAATTCACATTTTTGTCAGTTATAATAAAATAGATTAGTTTTATAGTTGGAATATTTCTACCTCCGACATGTATAAATTATTCAAGTAAAACTCACATAAAAGTTGTAAAATTTTATTTGATGGGCGGAAGTATTATTTTCGAAGACGTTTTAATTATTCTACATGATATATATTAATTATTAGTGATATTGAACGAATGTATCTTAAATTATACACTTAAGTCGAACCCAATTGACATTTTGATGATATTAATATCATATATCCTTACACTGACAAAAAAAATTTTCTTCAACTTAGAAAATTTTTTCGAAGATCTGGTTGATTTGGAGCAAGAAAAAATTTTCTTGAAACATTAAACTTTTTTGTTTTTTACATAATTTCTTTAGTCAAGAAAATTATATAGTTCTCCACATAAAAGTTTTTGTTTTAAATTTAAAAAATCGAATGTCAAAAAAAATTTCATTTCTTATTTCTATGTTGGTTAAAAAAAAAGTTTTTTGTACCCACTATTGACACTAAAAACACAATTTATTCTTAAAATATGAAAAAATAATTTCTAATTGTGCTAGTACCTTTAATCATTTGGTATTTAAAATAAAAATAATGATAAAAAATAAAAAAAAAAAGAGTGTGAATGAGAATGTAAGATCTAGAATGAATCTATTAGCAAGTCTGTAAAGACAAATTGCCGGATCGTTAGTTAGCTCTTAAAAGGGTTATTTGTACAAGATGTACCTGTCTCAAGTTGGCTTACACTCAACATCAACATCAGTAGCACAGCATCTACTGCTCGCAGCAGTTGGTACCAAGCACAACTCAACTCAACTCCTTTTTCTTCTTATATTATTCCCATCCTGTTCCATCCCCGTCTCATACGACAAACTGCTGTCTCAACAACCCCGATATAGCACAGTAGCTCCCAATGAAAATGAATATACGTTTGTAATTACTAAGCCACATTGTTGCATCGCTGGTGTGAAGTACAATGAAAAGGCGAGAGACAATGTCGATGCAATCAACAGTACAGTTTGCCGTGTGTCTTCTCTATTTAACATTGTCCTCTATTTCATCTCTATTTATACCTTAATACACATCCTTTTGCACAAGTACTTGCATTTGTTGTACTCATATATCTATATCTATAACTACACTTCTTACACATACCAGATACGCATATATATACTTCCATGCATATCATTTATTAGATTACATGTGCATCTATCATACTTGCATCCAACTAATTATGGAAAAATAAGTAATGAGCTGTGTTGCAAAATTTTACTCTAACTCTACAGTATTCTGATCTTATTCATAAGCTTCTTTTTTAATTACTTATTATTTTTATATTTATATTGTACTGAAAACATCTTTAATTAATAAACTTCAATTTAACTTTTAGACAAGCTTGCTTGTACATTAAACAATACTTAGGAATGGTTCCCATAATATATAGGAATGGTTCCCATAATATATAGGAATGGTTCCCATAATATATAGGAATGGTTCCCATAATATATAGGAATGGTTCCCATAATATATAGGAATGGTTCCCATAATATATAGGAATGGTTCCCATAATATATAGGAATGGTTCCCATAATATATAGGAATGGTTCCCATAATATATAGGAATGGTTCCCATAATATATAGGAATGGTTCCCATAATATATAGGAATGGTTCCCATAATATATAGGAATGGTTCCCATAATATATAGGAATGGTTCCCATAATATATAGGAATGGTTCCCATAATATATAGGAATGGTTCCCATAATATATAGGAATGGTTCCCATAATATATAGGAATGGTTCCCATAATATATAGGAATGGTTCCCATAATATATAGGAATGGTTCCCATAATATATAGGAATGGTTCCCATAATATATAGGAATGGTTCCCATAATATATAGGAATGGTTCCCATAATATATAGGAATGGTTCCCATAATATATAGGATTAGTTTCCATAATATTATAGGAATAGTTTCCATAATATTATAGGAATGATGTCAATAATATTGGAGTAATTTTTTTTCACACAACTGGGTATTTAATTAATTACTTTTCACTAGATTTATTTTTTTTTGATTAAGTGATTTTTTTTTATAATATATAAATTGATAAAAAAAGTTATCAGTAATAATATTTATTATTATTATCATTATGAAATTAATCAGTTGCAGCAGTTGATATTTTTTTAATCTTGAATGGTATACATGCTTGTAAATTAAAACAAAATTAATTAAAAAAAAAAAAATTAATTTAAGAAAAAAATTTCTACTAGAAAAAAAAATTTCTTAAACAAAATAAAATTTCCAATGGGTTTGAAATTTCAAATATTCAAATGTTTTCACGGCTCAACGTATGTATTGTAAATAAATAATTTGTTTTAAAAATAAAATGAAATTATAAAAATAAACAATGAATTTCCATATCTATTTTGCTTCTCTATAATAGTATAGTGAGAAAATATCCCTTTTATTAGAGAAACTTTAGAATTGCTACATTATTTTTCAATATCATCTAACACAATAATAACTGAGTTGGAATAAACAATTTAAGATTAAGTACACACGTGAATAAAAATTACGAAAAAGAAATTTTTTCACTCTAGTGAAAGATCAATTTTTATTTACAAAAAAAAATTTATTAGCAAAAAAATATATAATAATTACTTTATATTTTTGAAGTGAATGTTTCATTATTATGAAAATAAACATTTTTCTATTATTATGTACGTCATTCCCATAGTATTATAGCAACCATTCTTTTAGTAGAATAGGAACCATTCCTATAATATTATAGGAACCATTCCCATAATTTTTGGCAAGGTTCCTATAAATTTCTCTCCGTGTACATCTACTTGTTAGATACTTACACTCACATTTTTTGTGAAAAAAATTTGTAAATAAAAAAGTTACACGCGATTTTTTGAAATTGGTATATCAATGGTTGACTAAATATTTCACGTTCTAATGAACTAATTGGCTTAAAATTTAATGCGGATCTTCTCAATATGATTCTCTATTGCACCTACTAAATTTATCTCAAAAAAATTTTTTTACTTTTTGAAAAAATTCAAAACTAAAGAAAAAATACAAAAATTACATCATTTTTCTCTTAAAATTTTTGACGTGATAACGTCTTATAAAATGATGAACACCGACAGCGCTCACGAAAAAATGTCGCGTTCCGACAGACCGTTCCGCTTTTGTGTTCCTCCTGTGCGTTCCGCCTGAGCCTGTGAGTGCAAGCGAGAGCGCGCAACAAGCGATAGAGAGGCACGATCAAACAAACGATAGAGAGGCCCAAGCATTGGCTTATGACATATATCTCTCTTTTCGCGTAACGTCAGAGCTAGCAGTCAGAATATTGTTCTATAACTAATTGTTCGTGATTATATTTAAACAAATTATATCAATTATATCAGATTATTATTGTTGATAATATTAATAATTGTTAATAAAGAATATCAATTATAAATAAATAAATTAATAATAATTGTAAACGATAAATTAATAAAATAATAATAAAAAATAATAAATTAATTAATATTAATTATTAATAATAATAATCATATCAATTATCAAATTATTGTATCAATTTTTGATTAACAATTTATCAATAAGTCCTTTTTTTAGTTAAAATAATTTTTAAATATTCAAAATTTTTTAATTTTTAAATACAAAATAATGATAATTCAGTGACAATAATTCAATTCAATCCATAAAAGTATGCAATTTTTCATCAATGTTTCTTTATGACGTTATCACGTAAAACTATCGTCCGTAAACCGACTTTACAGACAACCAATTTTTTTGTATATTTTTAGAATATCAGTAAAAATCTGGTGAAAAAATTTTAATTTTAATTTTCCATGAAATTAAAAAAATACTTGAAATTTGTACCTCTGGTCTAGAATACTTTTTCGAGTAAATTATCCATATGAAGATATCTAAAAAGAAAAAAAAAGAGAAGAAACTGAAAAGAGTTTATTTTTTTCCTCGCCCTTTCCGATCATCAATTATCATGATCCCACTTTGGCGTTAAAATATTAGATTTACGAATAAAATTATTTTCACCTGAAAATTTATTTGAAATAAAGAAAACGGTGGATCTTGAAGGCAAGAACTGTAAGTCTAAAGTCTCGAATGTCTATTATACGTCAGACAGTAAATAACGTCGTGAGTATTCAGTGATCCGTAGCTATACCACTTTCTTTTTATTTCCAGGTGTCGTCTGGTACAACAAGGACGGCGACGTTTATCTGCTTGGCTTTTCTATTTCTACTTGTCGAAGTTACCAATCATGCGGAAGGTAACGCCTGTTATATTATTATTTTATTTTATTTTATTTTATTTTATTTTGTACATTGTGTAACTCTAGTTCTTATATATGTATATGTTACATGTGAGCGCACTTTGATTTTATTTAAAAATTTTAATTGATTTCTCGGTGATAAAATAATCAGAGAGCAGCTTCCATTTAAATAAACTTTATTTTCATTTTATTTCTCCAATAAATTTATAGTGAATATTGATAAGAAAAATGTTACGCAAGATTTAAAATTACGTAATTTTGTATAAAAATAGGAGTCGTAAAAAAAAACACAATTTAAATATAGAAAAATATAAGATGGTGGGTGGAATGGGGAAAATAAAAATTAATGTCTTGAATATAAAATAAGGATTCGCAAGGATTTTATGTACATCGATATAAACTATTACGGACAATGTAACTTTATCCCGCTTAATGTACGGGTCATAAAAATCGCTAGCATACATTTTCGTTTTATTATTTCTTATTGCTATTTTTTTTTTTTTTTCATTTTTTCTTTATATATATTTTATATTCATATGTACACACACATATGTATGAATATAGTTAAACATTTGTGTAAAGATGAGTTATTCTTAAATGTATTTACTCGCGTTTGGTGAAGCATTAATTCTCCGGCGTTTAAACCCATTGAAATATTTAAGAGAATATTTAAAAATAAAGTTTGTTCGACAAAGACAAGTAGAGCTGCTTCCTCCTCCTCTTCCTTCTTGTCGTTCTTCTCGACTTTCCACTTCTCTTTGAAGGAGAACGAAAAGAGAAGGTGTGACAGTATTTATGTTAGTTTTTAAATTTTCGGAATCCATTTTTCTTGATATTTTATGTCCGTGAATTTAAATTTAAAATTCAATAGTGGTAAGAAAAAAAATGGGTATACCATCAATTTTGGGAAAATTTTTATTTTTTATAACCATGATTTGTTACTTTAATTTTTAATTATTCACAGTCGAGTCAAAATAATAAACTTACGATGAAATATAATTATTAAAATTGAATAGACTTTTATTGAATGTGCAATAATTTTAAAAAAATTTAGTCATCAGAATCGGCAAAAAAAATTTGTAGTCATTACTTAATCATGGATGATAATAAGTTTTTCCATTTCAATTAAAACCTTTATGCATGAAATTAGCACTTTTTTTATAAAGACTGTAAAAATTTTTTATGAAAATAATTCATATTGAAAAAAATTGATAACTCATGACAAAAAAATTTTAATAATTCGTATTTTATTTAATTAATTAATTTTAAATAATGAATTCCTCATTAAAAATCGATGTTCATTAATTCTTTCATTCTTTTATAAATTAATAATTGAACAGAGAAATTTCTAAATCAATAATTTTATTCAATTATATAACCTAATTGAAAAAAAGTTATTACATGCAAAGTTACGAAATAAAAATAATTAGTTTTAAAACCTAAAGTATTACTAATTAATTGGACTTATTAATGTAAAAAAAAAAAAAAAAAAAAGAATAATAATTTAATCGATCCAAGAGATGAAAATTTAATCATACTTGAATACTTAACGATCATTGGGAGTAAATACTGTTTGTTTCTATGATTTCTCTTTGATAATAAATAAACTGAAAGGATCACCGGTTGAGCAGGTAGCGAATAGGGGAATTAATAAAGTAATAATAACAAATAACATTATTGGGCAATCAGGTGCGAGAAAAAGGTTCCGTAGGCCAACGACGTCGTCACCAGGTTCGTTGACGAGCGATCAAGAAGTCTCAGCCAGTGTAAACAGATTCAAAGTCACGCGAAATCGTTTGGGCACAAAGAACACGAAAAATGAGCTCCAGCCAACCAGCGACAGCACTGCCACTAGCAGTACCAAGTCAAATGATTACAAGGTAGAATGATCAAAGAGGAGCAAAAGTCAGCTTGTAAAATGTTTTTCTGCTAAATTAGTATTGCTTGCCAGAGAATATAACCTTATACTTTGTCTAAATTACCTGAAATATAAGACAACGTGGTTTAAATGTCGCAAATGTTACAATATCACTTTAGTGTCCCTTTGTCTTCTATTATTTCACGTCTCTCTATAATAATAAAAACGTACTCGCTACTTTTACTCCAATCTCTATTTAATTTACTATTTCTACTATTTAATTCTCGTATGCGGTGTCAAATTAAGGTTTTTGATAATATAATTTTTAATAATTGCTTTAATTTTTAAATCTTGTACGAATTTCGCAAATCTCGATCAAATTATTATTATAAAAATTACGGTAATTTTTTTTAATAAGGATCTTGGCTCCATTGTAATTAATTTAAAAATTAACATAGTTATTTTTTTTTGAACAATCTCACAGCTTTTTTCTTTTAAATTTCATCAAAAATAGAAAAATTTTGAAAATGTTTAGCCATAATTAATAGCTAAATTTGTCATTAAAGACAAATTTGGGAACTGGGAAAAGAAAAGATAAAACCGAAAAATAATTCGGACAGCCCAGACCGGGACACTTTTTTTGATTTAAGTAAAAATTTTTTCAGAAATTGAAAAATTAATGTTTTCAAAAATTTTTTCCCTAATTGTATAATAAAAATGTGTGATTGCTCGAAGAAAATTTAATCATGAAAATTCCGAATAAAAATGATGAAAGACAAAAATTTTTTAATTTATAAATTGAATTTACTCTATGAAATTTTAATTTTCGTAAATTTCTCAATTTGTAAACTCAATTTGACTGAAAAATAAAAGATTTTAACAAAAAAAAAATTTTTTAACATTTTTGTTTATTGGTATTTTATAATTATGCACACTGATAGAAGGATTTTTTAGTATTTAGAAAGATTTCTTTGTATTTAAGAAATCATTCCTTAAACATCATTTCATAGTATTTAAAAAATATTTCTTAAATGCTAAGAAATCCTTCTATCAGTGTGATATGACCAAAAATAGGTGGAGCCATGATTCTAAACAATTACCAAAATTATATTGTCGAATAATAATCATTTAAAATTCAATATTGTGTTCTAAGTTCGTCGACGGCATCAAAAATTTATTTAACTACTCGCGTCATATTAATGTAAACTTACTCCATTAATCATATATTACTGAGACCAATAATATGATTATAGATTGTATGCTACTATACGAACTGGTCGCAGTACAGAACGAAAATAGGTAAATTCATGCCAGAGGATATCCAACCGGAATTATGTACACACATAATTTATGCGTTTGGGTGGTTGAAGAAAAACAAATTGACCTCCTTCGAGTCAAATGACGAGACCAAGGACGGAAAGATTGGCCTATATGATAAAATGATGACGCTCAAAAAAGCAAATCCTTCTTTGAAAATTCTTCTTGCTATCGGTAAGTACTTTTTAAGTGTAAGAATATTCGAATAGAAAAACTATATTCCCCTCCGATAGATATTGGTACAGCATCCAGAACTTTTGGAATGATTGATGGAATTAGTTGACATTTTTTATATTGTACCATCTATATATAAATACATTTTTACAGCTAGCTTCAAGTGCGATTAGATTTTATGACTTTTATTTAAATTTATACGGGACGTTAACTTCCGGATCACTTTTCTCGTAAACTAAGATAGCTAAGCACTTCCGCTTGGGCTTGAGCTTTAAATATTCATAAAAAGTTTCTTGACATAAATTTAGTTTTACTTTTTTACCAAAGTCTTTAGACTGTAAATTAATAATATTTTACTTTGCGAGATATAATGAGCGAATTTTTCTAAATTACAAATAATTATTTTTTTAATAATTTAATCATAATTTTTTTTATAAAAGTATCTTATAGTTTTAGATAAATTCCAATAAAATCTGAAGTGGAATAAAAATTTAAAGATAAAAGAAAAAGAGCAATTAAACGGAAAAAATGTTAAGTGTTTATTCAAATGATTATGTCCGGTTGTTAAAAAATTAATGGTACATTTTATTGCCAGGTTTTTTTTTTACTTTTTATTGGTACGTGTAAAACAAGTTAATTGTAATTTTATTCAAAAGTTAAATTCTTGAGAAAAATAAAAAAGTAAATAATTTTTTATTATTCAAAATTTTACGTAGAATTTCTGAATCATTAATAAAAAAATTTTTAAAAACCAATTTTTTTTTTACTTTGACAAGAAAAAATTTAAAAAGCATTTTACCTATAAGGTTATTTTTAACTTCCCGCTAAAAATCTCAGATTTTCAAAAACCGTTTTACAAAAATCGAGTTTTCATCAGATCTCGACGTTTGAAGGTCACAGGAAGCTTCCCTGACTATTTTTACGATGATGTCCGTACGTCTGTATGTATGTGTGTGTGTGTGTGTGTGTGTGT